AGTAGCCATGAGTGATGGGATTTTTCTCCTTTACAGGCAGGAAGATTTCATCATTGGAAGGAGATCCACCTAAAATCATTTTACTCTGCTTCCTTGCTTTCCAACAAACACTAAAAACATATTTGCCTTTTCACAAACATGATTGTGTAAATTCAAAGAAGATGACCTGAGTTCAGAAGGAATTTGCATTTCAGTTTAAAATTGGTTTGTTACTGCTGAAATGTTAAAATATCTTGGCGTTACTTTACTTAGGTAATTCTCCTTTTTAGTACTACTAGTCACTGCTTACCTGCCTTTATACTGAATGAGATATAAAATCAGTAGGCAAAAGAGTCACCAGAGTTGAGGGGAATCCTCTTTTTTTCATTATTTTTTGTGAACCATCATTGCTAGAGTAAGAAGTTCCTTAGCCGTGTGCCACAAATCAGTACCTCACAGCCTTCAAAGAAATTCTAACACTAATCTACATGCATAAACTCTGCAACTTCCTCAAGTGCAATGCAATCTATTTCTACAGAATGAAATAGAAAGCATTACACAAGCACAGGTGGCCCAACAGGATTGCAACAACAGGAGTAATGCAACTGGCCCATGGCCTTGGATCAACTTCTAAGTACTGTACAGTATTTACATTAACTTGGAAGCTATGAAGCACTGGCACACGAAGAAGATAGTAAGCATCTTTGTCTATCCATAGGTGAGTACTGTTGGTAAGGGAAAGGATGGCACCATTGGTATCACTGGGACCTGTAATATGGCTGAGTGTTGTAAGAACTATCGGTCTTTTTCATCTTTTGTAGGTTGTTGAGGATTTCATCCATTTTGTCATCAAAGAGGCCAATGCCATTGAATGGTAAATCCTCAATATGCAAACATGAGTCTTCTGAAAGATAGGCAGAATGTAGCCATGCGTGTCTGTGGAGGGCAACAGCAATGGCCAAGTGCTTAGAAGCAGCTTTGATAATATGACATGCTGTGATTAATTCTTGACAGGCCAAGGCCATGGCTTCTTGGTGGAAAGCAAGGCCACAGTCCTTGTACTCGTCGGGAACAAACTGAAGTGTTGGTAAAGCCTTGTTGCAGAAATGTCTACGGTGGACTCCCATAGCTGCTAGATAGCTGACAACCCAAAGGGTGAAGGAGGTTAAAGAACAGACTCTTTGACCAATGATATCAAGCTTCTTGCCTTCTTGGTTATTAGGAGTGGCATTAGAGCAACTGCAAACTCTATTTTGTATAGCGTCAACTATGACTGAATTAGGAGGTGGGTGTTTGGAGAGAAAAATGGTATTGTCTCCATGTGTTTTGTACAAGTTCTCTATGCATCTGGATATTTGAGGAACCGATGAGGGTTTAGACCATGACTGTTGTATGAGCTTGAGGAGAGAAGAGATAAACCCCATATGGAGTGGAGGGGTTTGGTCCTGATTTGATGTATTCATAAACCCTGTCTGATTCTGTTGATACTGGCTGTTGGACATCAAGGTCCATGAACTTTACTATGCGAAGGATGGGTTGTGAGTAAGAGGAGAAATTTTCAGATGGAGATAACGGTGAGCAAGAAGAGAAATCTTCAGATGCAGCTGAAATCTTCAGCTATGTCAGAATCAGGTGTAGGTAGATTAGGTGGAGACTCATGTAGAGGTGTGGAGTCTGAAAAGTCACTATCGGAGAGTTGGTGAGATGAGCATGGACAATATTGTGGTGGTGGTGAGGATTGCTGGTATGGAGATCCCGAGGCATGAAGTAGGTCTTCTTGTGGAGTGAGGTGGGATAACGTCTGGGCTTGCCGGTACCATGATGCTTTTGAGGGATTGATTGGGTGGATGGATGAGGTAATGGCTGTTTAGGTTGTCGAGATTGAGTGGTATTGAGAGGAGCCAATGATGGTCCTGTGTAAGCTGTAGTGACTTGAAAAGAAGAGGAGCATACATGAGAAAGCGTAGCTGGTTCTGTGGTCTGAGGCTGTATCGATGTTGATGGTAGATATTGCTTTGATACCAGAATTGGTTGAGCCACGTATGAGATCGCTGATAGGTGGGTTTGGTCAGCTTTGGTACCAGAAGAGGCGGGAGTTTGTCATCTGAAGAGGACTCATAATACGCCTTGGTTGGAGAATGGTACTGAAGAGAAGATGGAGACTCAGAAGAGTCAGAAGGGTAATATTATGCATATCGAGCATGCTTGGGTTCAGTATAAAAACCAGTGTCAGTCTGCCAGTATCGATCGGCTCGGTGTCGATAGCATTTTAGGTGGAGGCTCATAATATATTGGTGCTCATACAGAGTGACCTAATTTTGGGCAACAGTAGCAAGTCTCAGCATCATGAGATGCCATCAACCCTGATGGTATCGGAGGTTGTGCATATTCGGCATCGGATCAGCAAGTCTCCAGTGTATAGTGAGTTTTTTGAGATTGTTTGCATGGAGGCAATGGATCAGCTACGGCAGAGGTTGAATCAGACTTGAAAGTGGAGACAGAACAACGCACAGATTTGGGCCTTGAGTATGCTGACTGAGAAATCACTGTTACCTCAGCGGAAGTATTAGGCCAGTCTGGTGACTGTGTAAGTAGAAGAGATGGTGGATGTCCAGACTGTGGAGGAATGGAGTCGTCATCTGCGGAAGGTGAATCAAGACATATGGTCGGCTGGTCTTGAATGGGAAGAGACACTTTTGTCAGGTGCAAACCGAGAAGAAGGAAGCCTGGATTGGGTAGAAGAAGAGTCTATAGATGGCTTATTCTTTTTCTTTGTGGGCTTAGAATGGTAAGATGCCGGAGTCGGGTTCAATGTCAGTGTTGATTTTGACATTGATTCCAAGGTCTTAAATTTCGATGCTGACTTGGACTTAGGTCTTGAATGAGCTGATTTTGGTATCGGAGAAGTAGAAGCCATATCTGTGGAAACTGTTGGAGGCTGAGGAGCCAAAGTGGGTTCCACAGAAGGTGGTAATGGACGGAGGGAGTGTTACTAAGGTTTCTACAGACCTGGCATGAAGAAAGCTGGTGCAATTTCCCAGGCAAAAGACACAGGAATTGTGTCCATTGGAAAGGAGGACGTTGTTAGGGCACAAGGTGCACCATTTCAACGGTCCAGTGGGGGCCATAAAATGGCAGGAAGGGAAGGCAGTCAGGAGAGGGAGAAACAGCTCAACAAGTCTCTTATTATTTTCCCTCTGCATTTTTATGTTTAGGAAGAAATCAAAAGCAAGGTGAACGTAGAGCTCATCGAGATATTAAACTTCAGCGGTGGCAAAAAGGAACTGAGGCAATTGCCAGGACAGGCAGACCACGTGTACTAGGGGGCGGTACTGGCAAATGTGTGATAAAGCTCTAGAATATTTCAGAAACCTCTGCCCAAGCGCAGATTAACCCATTAGTGTGCATTCACAGAGACCACAAAGAAGAATCTTAAATTATTTCTGGTTGGGTAGTCCATCCTCCACTCAAAACCAGTTCCAACCTGCTGCCTGGAATTCTTCTACCTAGATTCCAGGTTTCATCCCTGTTCAGGTATCTTTAAAAGCCTCTCCTCTACAAATCTCTGGCTTGGTAATTTGTTGATTGCCTCCTCTGACTGTCTTTTGTACTTATTCAAATGTCTTTTGCAGTCCATGCCATTGTATCAGTACTTTTACAACCAGTTCAAGATTCTGGCTCTGAAGGATATATCAAAGAACAACAGCAGCTTCATGTAATGGTAAGCTGCTTTGCATCTACTTATTCACCTGGGGGTGGAGGAGGGAGAAGAAAAATGTGCACCCATCAAGTACACCTATATTAAGCATTTATAGCCAATATAAATGTTAAATTGTAAATGACACAGTACCGCTAATTTATATCTCAGTGCTATCTAGGAACAACATGAACAAAAAGGATCCTTTTGCACAGCTCAGTGGCACTTTTCCCACATGATTTTAAATTATTATACAAGCCAACATGAAAGGAGAGGAGAGAAGGGAGAGAGTAGTAAATACAATGTCAGATTCATTGCCTTGTGATTCAGCACTACACTTTCAATGGAAAGATGAACATTTCACACATGACACTTGTGACTAGGGACCATTTTAAAAATAAAAACATACTCTAGGGTCAAGGTATGCATTTAACTAATAGTATCAACCAATAGGCTGAGGAGGGCAAGAGGAGAAGGGGATGACAGAGGATGAGATGGTTGGACAGTGTCATCGAGGCTACCAACAAGAATTTGACCAAACTCTGGGAGGCAGTGGAAGACAGGAGGGCCTGGAGTGCTTTGGACCATGGGGTCACAAAGAGTCAGACACAACTTAATGACTAAACAACAAATCAACCAATATATTAGATACTGATGTCAAGCAATATTTTAGATGTATAATCTAAAACAAGCTTATAGTCTTGCCAAACTACATTTTTGCTCATTAGTTCTCCTGACATTTCACAAAGTTATTTTGCCCAAATGTAATTTGCAAAATTCCCAATTTCCCCTCTACTATCTCTGATGTCCACATCTTCCCATATTTTAAAAAAAGCTCTTAAAATCCCTATGCTTACAATAACATTCTTTTCCTGGAGGGCATCACATATCTTATCTTTTCTCCTATTAGCATTCCAACAACAGGAAGCACTATAATGATATAAGCACCACATAAATATTTGTAACAAATCTGTATCTATTACTTATAAAACAGTTTCTCTTTCTGCCCCTTATAATCAAAGTACTGTACTCCATACTGCAACTTCTCCTTTATTGCTGTGACAGGCCTTCTGAATACTAATATCTTCTAGACTTAGTGTAAAAAAAGAATAAAATTTCTCACAGGATTCATGGCCCTGTTTACAAGAATTCTTCAGAAAATGGAATAAATCATCCTCTCCAAACGAGGCTGAAAGGAATAAAAGCCATACCAATAAAAACTAGTTCAATTGACATAATTACAACACACATTGGAAGACCTCCAAATTTGACCCAAAAAAGCCATTGTGAATTGCCAAAGGCAAATAGGATGGTGCTTACTAACCTTCTCGCAAACTGTGGTAAGAATCCTGACCCAAGCCTATGCTCTTTCCATCTTTCAAAACAACCTCTGCAAATGGCACAATCCCACTATAAGTGGGCTGCAGAGTTTTGGTTTTGTCCAACATGCTGGGATAATATTCCAAGATAAAAAGTTTAATCCTCAGAGAAGGGCTGGTACAGACTTCCAAGTCTTGTCGTCTCCTCACTCTTCAGTGTCACTCTGCCATTTCAAGCTAGGCTGACCGTGGAATTGAGCAGACACCAGAGGTAGTCACATCAAGGGAGCCAACATCTGAAGATCAGAAACAGCAAGCGTCTAGCAAAGCCTTGTTCTCCCATCAGAATTAAGTTCAAGCATAGAACTGTCTTCCTTTCCCCAGAAGGGAGATTCACACACATATTAAAGCACTACAAAGGACTGAACCTCAGTCTCTACAACTGTGCATAATGACAGACGGATGAATACTTTCATGAAGCTGCTTGCAGCAACAGTTAACCTCATTCACCCAAAATAGTAAGCAGTTGGTTTCTCTACTCAGGTCTCAAACACTTGCCAAGCAAGCATCATCACGTGACTCAGTATCTGCCCTCTCCTCCTCTTCTCTCCACCTCCAATGCTGTGCTTGCAAAGACGAGAGGGAAGCCACAGAATCACAGACTTGTAGAGCTGGAAGGGACCCCAAGAGTCATCAACTCCAACCCTCTGATAAAGAAGGAAATCCACAGTTAAAGCCTCTGGACCAGCAGGCACAGAGGCTTCTTCCTATTCCCAGTTGACTGAATACTAAATTCTAGTGTGTGGAGGAAAGCCTAATAGCCGCAGAGTAAACCCATTAAAGGTCAAATAAGCATCGCAAAAGGAATTGTTTATCTCGACCTGTTTGATCTACGTCTGTAAAGTTATAACAATGAAAAGCCTTGCCTTTTTAATGATTTAAGACTATTAAATACTACAGGATAGTGGGACCTTTAGTACTTTCACCTGAATCACTGGAGCTTTTAGGAATCACTTAAATGTGGGGTGCTCTCAGGAATCCACTTAGTGGCTTTCCAAGAGACTGAATAAAACTTCGAAACATGCAGCCCTCTACATGCCTGGCCACTGTGCAGCTTATATACTTATCCTTCCAGACAACTGGCTGCAGCTGCTTGAACAGTTTAAGAGTTTCCTAGCCATGATGGACAGGTGGCCAAAGAGGAACTTTATTTGTAGTTTCTCTCAAGAGCTGAGAAGTCAGCCAGCCTGGGAATCTGGCTCTCTGCCCAGCTGCTGAAAGGCTTGCCGGGGGCCCCCGCCCCCCCCGCCAGCAGAGTTACATGTACACAGGATATACTGCCACCCTCACTTTTGGCAGTGCATGTTCTTTATACATAAACTGAGTTTTAAATATCATGAACTACAGAGGCAAGAATAGCAGCTGCAAGCTTGAAAACCTATCAGGTGACGTCAAAACACATTCTGAGCTCTCCCCACCACACTCCTCCCCGCTTCCTTTTCCATATCACTCTCACATTACCTCACAAATTTGAGCGTACGGCACTTTGAATCCTTCAACTGACAAAATGCATTTGAAATAGAGCTAGATTACTATTCCTCTTCAACTCAGTATGAAAAGCATTCAGGTTGCAGCTCTGCCTCTCTGGCAAAATGCAGCTACTACAAATTCTATATTCTGGACCCAGTGTGATGAGACAGACCCTCCCTTCCCCCCTTAGTTGACAAGATGTGGGAATGATCTGAATATTTCACTCACACAGAGCCTGAAGCCACATCTTGCCTAAGGCTTTTACTAGATTATTTTATCCAACAGCAAGCACAATCCGAATGACATCAACTACCTTGATGAAGTTACACCAGCTACTCCCTAAAGAGAAGAGCTAAAAGGCTAATTTAATATGACAGACAAGGATACTGTGCGATGGCCATATAGCCCACCAAAAGTTCCTCATCATTGAAAAAAAACCCTCTATATATTGACTATTTTATCCAGAAGCCTTCAAATCACAAGGCTGCCTATTTTAATGTTATTGCAGTTTTTTTTTAATGGTTAAAATAGTCCTTATCTCAACTTACAGTAATGGAAAGCAGTTGTCTCTTAATAGGAATTCTGACCTACCAGTAAACAATGGGGTGCTGTTGGTATGTACCATCAAGGCACCTCAAACATATGGTGACACTATGAATCAGTGATCTCTAAAATGTCCTATCCACAACAGCCTTGCTCCGCTCTGTAAACTTAAGTCTGGGACTTAAGTTTAGGGAGTCAGTCCATTCCATATTTGATCTTCCTCTTCTCCTGCTGTATTCAAAGTTTCCCAGCCTTATTGTCTTTTCCAGAGAATCCTGCCTTCTCACGGTGTGCCCAAAGTAGGGCAGTGTCAGGTTCATTATTTTTGCCTCCAGACATAGTTCAGTATTAATTTGATCTAGGAGAGCAAAGCTCTCCTCCAGCATCCTATTTCAAATGAATCATTTTACCACTGTCAGCTTTCTTTACTGTTCAGCTTTCACACCTATACATGGTGATCAGGAATACAAGAATATGGATGATCTTGGTCTTGATCTCCAGTGGCACATCCTTACACTTGAAGATCTTTTCTAATTCCTTCATTGATTCCCTTTCCAATCTCAGTCTTCTTCTGATTTCTTGGCTGCAGTGTTCATTTGGATTGAAGGTATACAACATGTTTAATAATTTCAGTTCCTTCAATGTCAACATTAAAGCGGTGCAATTCTTCTGTAGTCATGATTTTTGTCTTCTTAACATTCATCTGCAATCTTACTTTGGCACTTCTTTCACGTTCAGTAAAAGTAATTTCAAATCACTGCTGCTTTCTGTCAGTAAAACAGTGTCATCTGCATATCTTAAATTATCAATGCTTGTTCCACCCATTTTCACTTTTCCTTCATCTGAATCTAGTCTGGCTTTCCATGTATGCTCTGCATACAAACTGAACAGGTAAGAAGGTAAAATGCACCTTTGTCTGACACCATTACTGTAGGAAACCATTCTGTCTCTCCATATTCTGTCCTAACAATAGCTTCTTATCTACAATACAGATTATGCATCAAAATAATAAAGTACCCATTTCGGTCAGAACCTATAGTTTCTCGTGGTCCACACAGTCAAAAGCTTTGTTGTAGTCCATAAAGCATAGACTCTTCTTCTTCTGAAAATCTCTGGTACACTCCAGTAGCTGGTGGATATTTGCAATATGGTCTCGAATGCCTCTTCCTTTTCAGAATCCAGCTTGAACATCAGGCACTTCTCACTCCATATAAGGTACCATATAAGGTAAAAGCCTTTGTTTGCACAGGAAATTAAAGCAAAGGTCCAATAATTACTGCACTCCTTGGCATCTCCTTTCTTCGGAACTAGAACGTATACTGAATGTTTCCAGTCCGTGGGCCATTATTTGTTTTCCATATCTGTTTGCATATTCTTGTTAGGATTTTAACAGATTCAAGTCTCTGTGACTTGAAATACTTGTATTACTATCCCATCCTCCTGGGATGATTTATTTCTTCCTTGTATTTTTCTCCTTTTGTTGCCCTCCTCTATTTCTTTACACTGATTACTGTAACAGTTCTCTTTGCATCTATACGTTAGACACTGAAAACTGCATCCAGGGTTCTGACCTTATTTCTGTCATCTTTTACTTTTGCTTCTCACCTGTCCTTTACAATTTTAAGTGTTTAGTCCATCATCTATCTAGGTTTTTTTGGTTTGTTTTTTTGCTGCAGGAACTGTATTTTTGCGTTCTTCCCTAAAGACCATGAGCCCTCCTATATAAATGTTTATTTAGTCTGGATATCACAAGAAATTGTAGTTTGTTTAACATAAAAAGCAGCACTTTTATGTCTTTATCAGCCCATGAAACAACAGAAATTCTGGTGATATAAGCCTAACGTATATACAGGCTCATTCCTGCAGCAATTCATTCATTCATGCCAAAGCCAGGCAGATTATTTTATCTGAGAGAATCATATTAGGCAGGCCATAAGCCAAAAGACTCAGCAGCTCCAAAAGGAAATGTCCCCTACCCTACCCCCACAAAACTATTCTTTATTAAATCTACAGGATCGTTAACAAAGAGGATTCCAACATTCAGAACTAAATTTACTACCTGCTTTCAGGAAAGATGCCTTAACAAACCTGGAGTAGCCAAGACAAAATCTTCAAACATTTGTATAAAAACTAACCATAAGGTAGCAAGGCAGAAAACACACTCATTATGTTTCATGAAGCACACATGATACTTTACAGTACAAAGAGATGGCTAGATAAAATGCTGCCCTTCTCCATACTTGCCTCAATGAAATTTCTGTCAGATCAATTGTTCCTGACAGATGAGGCACTTACAAGTCACAATTTGTGCTTAAAGAACTAATGACATCATTTGATTTTGATCTAACTCAAATGGCAGATCTATAAAGTACCAAGGTGTAGTGTTCACTCTGCTCATGAATATTTATGTTGAGATTTGCATTTACCAATAGGAGTTGGTGGGGTGGAGTTAAGAAGGGGTGGAGATAAGAAGAAAAGACGGCTTTTTTTAGTTAACGACATTGACTGATGTTTTATCACTTGTAACAATAAACAATTTCTACTTGGTTTTTAAATGATACGTTGCCCAGACTTCTGTCATTAATCATGAACAAAGTTGATGTAATCAACTGGTGGCACCTGAACGACAGGTAGCATGCACCTTTGCTTGATGAAACAACCAAGGGCCACGCAGGAATGTAACCCAAGGTATCAGAAATAGTCACTTGTCAAATATGCTCCAGTCAATTCAAATAGTTCTCTACAAGGTTATGGACAGAGTGTTTTGAATTGTAACCATGTTTCTCACAAATCAGTGCCCACCATATTGGCCAAAATCCTGTTGTGCAATACACATTCACAACTTGCTGTTGTGAGTGCAGTAGTTTCCCATAAGAATTTTCTACCCAAGGGAATAGTTATATATAAAGCTATTTTTCAATTATCAGATGTGACTTCCTAAATATAGATAATTAAATATTCTTGATTACTATTCCTAATAAGAAAATCTTCTCCATCAATCAAATACACTCTCCAAAGCTTTCCTCTCAGACTGAATTTCCACAAACTCCCCATCCAGCCAATACACAACC